AGCTCTATGTACCAAACGGACCTACATAAAGGGCCTCATATATCTTTGAGACGCTAACAATCTTGTTGGAACAGGTCCTTTAATCGGAGAGACAACCTTCATAAATATCTCGGTGCAAACAAAACTGTCCTAAGCACACAGGTTGCGAAATAAAGTATTTATTATATGTTTGTATGGTCTCGGTACTAAAGAATGAAGACGTTTGTGAAGAATTAATAAATGTTACTGTCGTTAGGGACTTTACTTTCAGGCTGGTATAAGAAATCAACTGGGACAATGCTTTTTGTTTTTTTGAGGGGGCAAATCATCAAATCACTACTCCCGCCTTAGGTTAGGCGAGAGGGAGTGTCAGACTATTATTAACCAAAAACCACCCTGTTCCTACTCCTGCACTTCGAGGCGGAGCCGAGGCAACCCGTTAGGCTTTCCGCAGCTACACATCGGGCATCAGCCCTACTGGGCCCCATCTGTGGTGGTCTGAGAGCTCTTTGAGGCGAGTGCGAAACGCAACGCGCCATACCCATTCATGATGATGATCACTTTATTATACTCTAACAATCCTTTTTCTATTAAAAGAATACGTATACGATATAAGTAAGGGCATGTTATGCAATTGTTCTCTGACCAGTAGTGCTTCCAGATACGCCTCAACCTTTTACGAGCTGGTCCTAATCATGTGTTCCGGTATTCTTTACATGATCTAAGCTTGAACTACCTTGTCATAGAATTTTCATCAATTCCATAACCCAAATTTTTTATTTTTCTCAAATCAGTTCCTCGTTTAATATCGAAATGATATTCGTTTCGAATCAGAGTTCAATCGAAAGTAATTCCAGATAATTATCATAGTTTCTGTCGCTTCGCAGCTGAGAATTTCACACTCCGAGGGAGTGGAAATGGGTTTATAGGTCACAGGACTTTGTGAAATCGTTGCGACCGTCGCGCGCCGTTTGTAATACCGGTGTGATTGTACCGGCACTAGCCATGCGCGTACTCTTTTGGTAGATAAAATGTACCTTAATGTCTTTTTAATAAGGTGAGTCGTTACTTTATAAAGATGGCTGATGGTGTGAATCTGTATATTGTGTTTTACAAGGATACACCTATTTGATTAAAAAATTTGAAGTAGGTATACATTTGTATTAAAGCTTCTTCCTATCTGTTTCAAACGAACAAATACCCTGATGCTAAGTGATCAGCACTACCCATGGACATTCAGTATTAAGTGTGGGAGAGCCATGTTTTGACACGAATGGGCCGGCTCGACAGGAGTGATAACAAGGCATGACAGAAAACCGACGTGAAACAACGCCCGCGTTGTGTTTCGTCGTGTAAGTGAGGTTATTGATGGCCTAATCACCCCCCTTCCCCAATCTCCCCAATCCCTGAACCCGGATAATTTTCAAATTCCTAATCTCCAAAAGGCGGGTAACGCATTTGTAATGCCTCTGGTGTTCCAGGTGTCCATGGACGGCATGGAAGGATTATTATATCATTAAAAAGAAAATTAGAGGAGATAGATATCATATGCAAGATACACTATCTGGGTCAGCATCAAAGAACACATTATTCTTTTGTATTTATCCAAAAATTATGGTATTTCTAATGTATTAGTACCCACATGGATTAATTTGTCATACAAGAGCTCTATTTATAAGATGTCACTGTATGTATCGAGTCAGTTTGCATTATACGCCTGCTAAAGAACCACGCCTTTCATTCACCCGAGTACGGACATAACAGTATTCATAACCTTGTTCTCACATGATATTACTCTGTCACCTAAAGAAATACAAACCAATAAAATTACACCCAATAATACCCTATCACCTACCAAACCCACCTGCGTACATTAACAATGATATCTCGTATAATACACCGATATTGTCGAGCCCCTAGCAACCGAAAGATGATACAACCACCTCCATTATAATCGAGGAGATATACGAAATTTACATAATAAAGTTGAACCTATATACCTCGGGAAATATGTTTATAAATATGAGGTAACATTTATTATTTATTTACTTGTAAATAGTGTAAAATATGCCTGTAAAATCTAGACTATTTCGTTCGTTGAGAGGTCGCCAATGCGACTTGGAGATTCTCAGATCAGGCGAAATATTTACGGCTTTTTTGGGACTTACAATTTTTTGAGTTTCACAGCAACTAGAATTATGCCAATAAACATAACATAACATAACTTTACACCTATTATAGGATAGGCAGAGGTGCACATTACGGCACTTAATGCCACTGTACAATGTAACACCTACTTTTCACTGTTTTATGTTTATGCTTATTATGTTTATACTAATTATGCCAATCTATGGTAGGTAATAATAACATAACTAGTCAAATGAGAGTTACATCATTATATAAATATGCATCTCTGCTTATACATACTTCCAAGGAATAAAAGTTTTAAATTAGTTAAGATTACTAAACTTGAGTATTTCGTTGAAAAGCTAATAGTTTCTATGAGAAGATCTCTCTTAATAAATCAGATAATAATTCATCTCATTTGTCAAATTGGTTAGTTTAAAATACTTTCCTATGTATTCCATTAGGGTTCAGGATTATTCGGAAACCTTGTGCCTTCAAAACTTTAGGGTCCAAGGCCATCAAGGACATTGGATAAGAAACCAATGTAATGAAATATTTGTGTTTACCAGCTTACCCAACTAATGGATAGGAATTGTAGAAGAATTGCCCTATGTTCTAAAACAAGGGATTATTTTCACTTAGGTATCTGTCGTTTGCCATCATATAAGATGTAAAAATACTTTTCTACTTCATTTTACGTAGGTTTCATAAAATATAAAAATCTTAATCATATAATTAATTTTGATGTTTTCGGTTTACTCATGTAATTGTTTGACAATGATCTTGACGAGTTTCAAGCCATGCTGGAGGCTCATATTCATAATAAGCATTCCGTAACACGCGACGACTGTTGCGGTGCTACTGTCAGTATCTATATGCCTCTAGCATGGCTTGAAACTAGTCGAGTTCCTCATCAAACAGTTACGTGAGTAAGTCTACTAATTTAAGTAACTAATTTAGTATGTATCACGTAATTCTCAATGACATAGATTACAAACTTTTTTTTATGGCATAAGCCGGTAAACGAGCAGACGGATCACCTGATGGTAAGCAATCGGCGTCGCTCATGGACACCTGCAACACCAGAAGCGTTAGAAGTGCGTTACCGGCCTTTTGGGGATTAGGAGTTTGAGGATCGTTGGGGATTCAGGAATTGGGGATATTGGGGAAGGGGAGGTATTGGGCCTCCGGTAACCTCACTCACACGACGAAACACAACACAAGCATTGCTTCACGTCGGTTTTCTGTGAGGCCGTGGTATCACTCCGGTCGAGCCGGCCCATTCGTGCCGAAGCATGTAAAACTTCTAAACAATATCATTTACCACAGTTTTGGTACAAAATTAACAAGAGGTAATTCAGTAATAAAAATATATTAAATCGGATTTTCCAGTACCTTAATAAATATATATTATTTACTAAATACTTAAATCGTTTGAAAAGTGCAAATTCTTTAAAATTAACTACCTAACAAACAAATTATTTGACTGAAATAAATCTACGAAGCAATTTAAAAATCGTAAATCTTCTTACGAACCCTGAAAGATAGAGATTGATTGGATCCCATTACAGGAATGGAATTTCTTTGTAATTCTTACATTTCAGCGTTTTCAGTTAAATCTTTTATTTAGTGTTCCAAATTGTGAGCTGATTGGTGTATTGAGAAGCTCAATTGAATTCGATTCTTGATTCGATTACGGTTTCTTTAAGGTAGCGAAGATTAAAATGTTACTTTGGTTTTTTGACGTGTCTAAAGCATTTGACAGACCGTTGAATAGGAAAACGATAACAAGAACTTTAGAATTTTTTTTAACTTAATTTGTTTTAATCGCAATTATAGATTAAATTAATTATTGTGTTTTTATTATAACCATCGCGAGACATACTAATTTAACTAAAAATCGCGGGCTAGTCACGTTAATATACTCATGAGAAAGAACCCCTCTGTGGTTCGAAACTAGTAGAGCGTTTCTCAGTATATTCACGTCAGTAACCCATGATTTTTAGTTAAATTAATTACTGGAACATACCTTTCCAGCTACAGTAAGTTATATTTTGCTTCTTTAGAAGTCAAAATAATTTCGTAAGGTATAAAAGATGTCTAAAATCCATAATTGCATTGCTGACAGTATTCACATCCTACCAGAAACCCTACTGTGTTGAATTACTTTAATTCATTCCCTATTATTCAAGTTACAATCTGTTCTTCATGAATCACTATTTTAAACGTATTTGTTTATATTCTTCTTCACAAGTCGATCAATAGACGATATATTCTTCTCCCCAACTTCAGATGATCGTTGATTCTATTCAAAGTTGATTGGTAATAAAAATTCTACAATGGTTGTGTGTGTTGTGAAGTGTCGCCACTTACCGTTCGCAGATTTGATTCTACGCTGATGAAGATGGGCTACTGCTAAAACAAACTACATCTCATAACGCGTATGACTCATGACAATTTTGGCAATGATTTTTGAAAACGAAATTTGTATGATTGCAATTTTGGAAAAATATCTGTAAAATAAAGAAAAATCTTTGAAAATGTCAAAATATTAACTTTGGTAACATAAAAAAAGAATGTTGGAAATGGTTTGAGTCAGCCAAATTATTTAAAAAACTGAACAGGACTGTTATAAAGTTTTATCAATTAAAAATCAATAATTCAATCTTCAAACATAAATCGCCAAATGATAAATATGAAATTAATCACAAACTAAATCAAAAACCATTAACAAGAATGTAATAAAAAAATGAAACAATAATTTCAATCACACAACAACCGGATCAAATTGGAACCGAACATAAAAACCATTGCCGAAGAAAACTAGCAAGATCAAAATCAAATGCTCAATATTTGAAGATGGACAGGCGTGATCAAGCATTACTTTTCATTACCTGACTTACACTCCTAAAGCTACTGGTGCTAGCGCTCCGAGCCTGCAAGAAGAAACAGTAGTTCCTATACACTAGCACACACAGCTTTTGTCACAACGACCAAGAAGATTGACGTGCTGAATGAACAAGCTGTTTGCAGGACTGTACATTGAACGCCAGTAGGTCAAAGTACTCCTTTCTTTATTGGGTTTTCAACTTTATTGTCTTGGTATAAGGTTGAAAGTCCAATGAAAGAAGAACAGTAGGTTCACCTGCTGTTGTCTGTATAACAATCACGACAACGCCAATAGTATCATTTCCTTCAATAACGTTTTCAAAGTTGTTCTGATAAATTGCTGTTTCGATATGATTTTGGACTTTAATGCCTCGTGCATTTATAGTCCATTATTCTTTGTCGTTAATCAAAAAGTTTTTGACATTTTAATGTTGCATTGTTAATGATACTTTTGAATAGAAGTGTTAGAAATGATTGAACTTTATGAAACTCTTGCATCGACTCTTTGATAATTATGAATTTGAGTTTGAACTATGATTTGACAAAAGAAAGAGTTTTTATTCTTATTGTCCTCATTAACTCTATCTTTTGTTTTTTCTCTTCTTTTACGTTTATTTTTACTTTTATTACGATAACGTTGGCCACAAATAAATTCTAATGTAATATACTTTTTTTATGAGTTCCATCAAATTCTTTGTTTTGTTTTTTATTGCCTTTTATTATAACTTTAATGTGCTCACAAAGCCACGTAATTGTCACATTGGGATGATGTACTGCAGTAGCTAACGATTTTTTATTGAAATTATCTTTTTTATCTTTTCCTATAGGTAGTACTGATAATCGGTGCTTTTACCTTGTTAGCATGTCGTATTTATTTTTAAATATTGTTTTTACAATCTTCTGGACATATTGGAATGATTTTTTTTTATAATTCCTTGTGGACGTAGGACGAAGGGAGCATTAACTTTTTCATATTGTTTTTATTTAATATTGTTGCTTGGCTGACTGAAAGAGACTGGGCCTCACGACACAGGGAATTCTAGTGTGGGGTCCAGGGCCATACAAAAATATACTGTAAAGTCAATAAACATATTTTCATTTAATTTAATTCTAGTGACAAAAGTACCTATCAATCTTCAATACATCTTCAGCTTTTGCTACCTCATTAAGAAACAATTTACTATCATTGAACAGCAATTTATCATCACCATTATCAATTTAGTTTATGTCTAAATATATTTTACCATCCAAACAGCTTATTGGTGCATCTATGTGCATAGCATTGGAAAGAAGGAGACAGATCGTGCAGCATTTCTAATCTTATTGGTCGAGCACACAGGAAACAGTTAGTCAAATGTTTATGCACAGATATAGGAGTCGAACTTAATTCTTTAAGACCATTATTAATTAATTTCATCATCAAAATCAAATGAGGGAGTCCACGGTTATTCTGAAAACGTGATGGAACGTCTCCACGGTATTTTCTAAGTTGTATCACAGGCAAACTCATTCTCATTACTCATAAATGCATTATGCAAGATCCTTCTAATGTCATGTAATTTAAATTTTTATACTGCCTTAAATGGTCTACAAAATCAAGTTTGATTCCAAAACACATAACAATTAAATGCAAGCAATTCGTTCATTTGTGTAAATAGAGAATATCGGAAAAAAACAGTGAATTCGAATTGTCATACCGCCAGAGGGAAGCAATAGAGATAGTTTGCAACCAACACTTAAGTGACTCTTTACAATCCATTGTAAAAAAAATAAAGAAATATTTGGACAAAACATTGTGCGCTTTAATTGACAAACAGTGCTGAAGAAGATAAAATGAAACTTGCATTTCTACAATTAAAAATAACTCCTATAGACGATAAAACAAGTCCCAATATCGACAGATTCATCAAAAATAACGCACAAAAAATTAAACCAATGGGCACATCTTTGAATGAAACACGAGGGCCAATAGGATTCAATCAAAATAACACAGTCACTAGTATCATTGGTCCTGTTAATACTGATGACTGCCATGATGTAAAGAGCACTGTAAACATTTAAAGCATTTGCCAAGACCATCAGCGACATTTATATACAACATTTAACATTCTGGGTAAAACGGTAATGGCTGATGTCAGTGTATTAGTTAGATTGTTTGTCGGTAATAATCACAGGAACATCTGAAACAAAACATGTTAGATACCCTACAAAATATAGGTACGTTGGAATTTAAATATGGTCTAATTTTGGGTAAATAAATGCCAATTCAAATTGTTTATTTATTATTTGAAAGTGTATCCAATTCATTACAATATTATATAATAATCAAATAATGTCTTATAAAAAATAAGAGTATAATTCTTGCAAAAAATAACAAGCAACATTATTTCCAAACTACCCCACTTTTACTTTCAAGCAATAAACTGCTTTATTACTTTGGTATTATGTTCTTATTTCCTACACAATTTCACAGTGACTTCGCTTATATAAGAGAGGCATTACGGGTACTATATCATTTTCTAATATAAAAGAGTTTGCCTAAAGTTAGCACAGTAAATCCAGTATGATCCGCATTAAACCGGTTCAAATCTTCAATTTTCCAAGAGTTTTCTTACAAAGACTATTATCGTCCATCCCTTTTTCTCTTCCTTTGCTAAATGCGATGGGATGTTTGGCTATAGGCACACCCAATGTTTAATTTTAACTGATAAAATATTAGTCCAAATTGCATACATTGTTTACTCTAGAGCTCTGATATATAATTATATACTTTATTGATTTGGTTTTCACTACTTTATTAGCGGGTGGTAGAGCTCTCTACTAAACCCGAACCTTTTAAATTACTCTAATCCACCAAAATGCATGCTAAACCTGGAGATAATAGCAAAACTTCTTATATATTATTTTTTTTGGAATAGGAGCCAAACTAGCAGATGGATCGCCTGATGGTAAGCGATCAGCGCCGCCCATGGACACTCGCTACACCAGAGGAGCCCCAGGTGCGTTGCCGGTCTTTTAAAAAAGAATACGCTCTTTTTTTGAAGGTTTGAAAGTTGTATCGGTTCGGAAATGCCGTCAACGACAAATTATTCTATAGTTTTGTTGTGCGAGGCAGAAAGCTACGAGAGAAGCGCACAGTTGTGGCCTACCAACCATCTATATGATGGGGGTGGACGTGTTGTCGTTAGGGTCGATGACGAAAAGACGCGGTAGGTATCAGATCAAACAATTGCTCAATTAAATATAGACAAGGCCCATCGTCAACTATCAGTAATTATCATCATAGTTATAATCACAGACAACGATCTATTGAAATCGAAAACAGAGCTCTCCTACGCGACTTCGCCGTGACCGCGCACTCTGCTCATGAGGAAGAACCCCGCTGTGGTTCGAAACTAGTAGAGTTTACATTCACGTGAGTAACCCGCGATTTTGGTTAATTCAATATTATAAACATTATTATAATAAAAACTTATGTTACTCATAAAATTCCTAAATAAATAAATAAGAATATAGGCTACAGTTCCACGGTACGTAAATAAATTATTATTATATTTATTCATGTTTACGACTTTTCCCTCTAAACATTAAATAAAATGAAATAAATAAGGAAATGAATTTGAAACGTTTCCCCATACCAAGTTGTTTGTAAGAAAAAACTTTGAATCTCCTGAGTAACGCGATACGTTACGTAAGAAATTAGATAAGTATATATCTGCCTTGTCATGTTTTTGGAGAAACGAAATCGTTTATATACTAATGCATTGGTAATAAAATATATACTTTTATTTTTTTATAATAGAGCCTGGAATTGTGCCCGGTATATGGCAATAGGCTCACCCCCTATTACATGGGAATTATAACATAAATTGTGAAAAGTGAGTGTTACATTGTACAGTGGCATTAATTGCTGTAATGTACATATCGGCCACCCCTTCGTGGATAAAAGGCGTGACGTTTATACGTATTGTATTAAATTTTTAATTTTTTAGTGGATAGATAAAGGGCAAATTAGTTTCGAAAGATGATTTGATCTCGCAATACTATAGAAATCACAAATACAAATTAACGCATTTATGAATATTAATTTTTAATTTGCTTACAAGTATTGACTACATAATAATGTCTTCATATAACTTGTCTAGCCCTAGTATTGTGACAGGGTGACTGAAACCCATGTGAATTCCTAAAATAATAAAACCAAAATTATACACACCGTTGTAATTATAAACAGCAATATTATTATACAACAAACTGTAGATACGAAATCTGTCATTATAATACACAAATTAATGTATAAAAAGGTTTTACAGAAATTACAGGTTTGTACATGTGACCTTGAGCTTAACAACTATGTGTTGTAGTTATGAGCTATTGTTCTACGACCGTGATAATAAAAACAATGGGCCTTTTAACAACATACTAATTGTAAAGTAGCTAGTGACACATACTATATACACTTATTTAACAATAGAAATTCATAAAGGGATGGATTTTTACGGCTGCAGAATAACATTAATAGGTGAAGGAAAATATCGTGAGGAAACATGCACTTGCTGGTTATCTACTGCAGCTAGATTTTTTTAAGTCCATGGTTTCCTCGCGATATTTTCCTCCACCATTTCAATTGTTGAATGTTTGCAATCACAATAAACTTCAAAGCCCCTATAAGGTGCAAAGTTACGATCTCCGGCCACCGTAAGCGCGGGCCTGCGGACGGCGAGCATGGGTGGCTCGCCGCCCGACCAGAACCAGACTCGAGCGTACAGCGCGTCGCGTTCCGCGCGCCACCAGACCACCACAGATGGAACCTAATAGGGCTGATGCCGATTCGGAGTCGCGGAGAACCTAACGGATTACCGGAGCTCTGGCTCGAAGTGCAGGAGAAGGAACATGGTGGTTTTTAGTCAGTAAGAGTCTGTCACTCCCTTCCACCTCACCCAGGTGGGAGAAATCATTTGATGATTTTCCCCCCTTAAAAAAAGGTCCATAGATTGAATTGGGTAAAGACTTACTACTATTGTATTAGGCCTTTCGTTCTTAAATT